GAACTAAGATAAAAGGAAACAAGCGAGCAATTATGCTATCAGTATGTTGTTAGGCTTTCTTCTTTAGGAAATAGCTTAAATTGTGGAGGATAAATAAATAAATAGGACAGAGAAAAGGCGAGATAGAGAAAGTAGACTGTCCAAATCCAAAATTCTCCAGCGCTAATGTCGTTTTCTTTCCTCCCCTGAGGAGATTAATTAAGCACCTATTATTATAGTAAACAAATGAACACGGGGTGGAGCCCACCTCATCAACAAGTAAGGATCCCATCCCTTGTGGGCCCCCGCATGTTACTGTTTTTCAGCTGATCCGATGGTTGGGGATGAGCAACATATCAACCATTAAGCGTGATCAATTAGAGCTGAATAGCAGGTAGGAGACATAGTGAACTATAATAATGCAAAAGTTTTGGAGTTTCTTTCTGCAACAAAAAACAAAATCAATTCGATGTAGGAAGTTATATATCTTTTATTTTTTTTTCCATTTTTCGTCTCAAGAGAATAGAATAACTATAGAAAATATACATAGAAAATAATTTGACGATCCATCAATATCCCAGAGAAGGAAGTTTTATGGTGTTTTCATGATGCATTGAACCCATCTTTAGTTCAAAATATCCCTAAGAATTTTGGAAATAGCCTAGTGTAAAGATAGCAAATTCAGAAATTTAAGAACTGACCTCCTAACTTGATGAGTTATTAGACTTCAAACGATTTTCACATAATTAAGTTTGAAAATAAAAATCTCGGCTATACTATTCTATTGATTAAACTAATTGGACATGAGGGTATCTTTAATTACTCTAAAAGCATTTTATGGGCAATTTCTCATGGCTAGTTGACTCCTATGTTTGCCTTAAGGGATACGCTAAGAAAATCATAGATAGTTCAACATTAATTAAAGTTACTCAGTTAATTAATGATCAGTTTATAGTTAGTTAAAAGGGGTTTCCCTGGTACTAGTCCCCCCAAATCTTTCATATTTTGGAATTAGTCCCACAAATCTTCATATTTTGATGTTAGTCTCACTATCTTGTTAAGAGTTTTAAAAAAGTCCTCCAAATCTTCATATTTTAAAATTAGTTCTCCAAATATTTTAAGTGTGATAAAATTACTCCTGAAATCCTTCAGCTAGCTGGTAACTAGAGTGAAATATTTAAAAGATCTGGAGAACTAATTTTAAAGCACTCGACGATTTGGGGACTGATTCCAAAATGTAAAGATTTAATAAACCAATTTCAATGCATAAAATATGTAGGGGACTAATATGGGAAAAAAACAACCCACGAAACTAGGTTTTTGCGGGGGTGGGTCCATTGCTAACAAAGGCAAAGTGGGGCCAATAATCTCTATTGTGGTCTTTTTTCGATTCCAGATAAAAAGACACCGGCCCATGATCCGGACTCTTGTACGCTTTTCTTTCCTTCCCTTTTGTGCGCACCAATCTGGGAGCAATCACATTTTTATGTGGCTCGTTGGTCGCATCTCTTTAGTTGGATGCATTCTAATTGTGGTAAGTTTTTGTAACCTGGCTACCTCTAACTATTATTTCATTTTAAGAAACATGCAGTGTGCGAACATCAAATTTGAAGTTAAAGAATGAACCTCACCTTGCACGTTAACCTTTTTTTGCAAGAATAGGAGTAACCATGCGGATGATGCAACTAATTCTTAATCCCTGATTTGATTTGATGCGTACTGCAAAATTCACATATAACAGGAATATTCATTATTCTCTTAAACTTATTCCGCATACAAATGTTATTGTATGCAGATATTAATCTGATTACACAATGAGTCGGATCTGTAGATGCGAATAGTTATTATTAGGTTCAGGAGTCTATTTAATTCTTGCGTCATGTTGGTTTCATGGCAAACTAAGAAGCTGGTAGTTTCTATTTCTTCTTAATTTCGTACATTGACATTTAGTTGATTNCCCCCCCCCCCCAAAAGAATTTTTTTTTTTTTTTTTTTGAAAAGTTTAATACAGTGACATTTTTCTTTATAAGGTCAAGGTTCTAGTTGACTACTGATCACTCCCAAATAGATGTTTATAATTGGTTAATTTGCGTGGCAACTAGATTTTAGCAGAGATTAACTGCAGTCAAGTCAAAGTTGCTTGAAAATACGGCAATTTTCTTCTATAATTAACTTGCAAATGTTGGGTGATTAATTAATCGCGGTTCCTAACGAGACAGAACCATTAATCATAAACCGCATCACCTAGCTTTCTTCAAATAAGAAACCAAAATAATCATATGAGAGGCTTGATCCCATCTCATTTATCATCATAAAAAGCTCTTTCAATAATCAGTTTATTAGAGAAACAAGTTAAAATGGTCACGAACAATTGATTTCAACAAAGAATGTACTTGGTTTATTATTGTTGGACATTTTGGTACGTTTGATTTGGTGTAGTTGGGACACTGTATCGTTCCAATTACATCAAAATTTTAAAACTCTTGTTTAGCTCGATATTATTGCAACGCTAACTACAACAACAAAAAATTTCTTTATTCGGTTATATGTTGTTACAACACCAAAAGATAGTTGTAACAACAAATTAAACCAAAAAATAAAGATATTGGAACAACACTCAAATTCAAACGTTGTCATCATGGGACTATTTGGTTTTTGAATTAATTTTGATGTATGTACTGTGTTCTGTAAAACCTTAATTAAAATCGTGTTTGTTTGTGATGAATATTAAATAGGATATGCACGAATGATAAATTCTTATCAAATTTTATTTGGTTGTACAAGAATTTTATTGAGAATATGTGATTAAATTCATGATCATCACATTTTAGTACACTTGTATACCCTTATTATCTATTTCATTTGAATAAATATATCAACTAGTAATGAGTTTTTATCTTAAATTGCAAGTAATAATGAGTTTTTATCTTAACTTGCATGTAATGGAGAATCAATGAATAAGAACCAAAAATAGCCAAATTCCCTCAATTTCCCACCATTTATTGAAGCCCAATATCAAGCCAAGAGTAGGCTTACAAAGCCCAAGAGATCAAGAAAAATCGGGTTAATGAGTCAATAAAAGAACCAATTCTGTTAGGAACCAATCGATTAGCTAATTGATCAGCCAACCGATTAGTTCATAACGTAATCAGTTGATGGCTGAGATTTATTAATTGGAGCTCAAGACAAATATAATAGATCTAGTTGATTAATTTAGGTTATAAATAGGGGTAGAGAGTAATGGAGAGGAGGACCACTTTTAATTGAGAATGTCTTCCAAAGTTATAAATTTTTTATGTATAATAAATAAAAAAAAATTATTTTTCTTTTTAATTTTGTTATTCTTCTCTTTGATGATGAAAATGAAGATTTGCATATAAGGAGCCAACCCCTTGCAATGTAAGTTTTTATTTTTCTCTTTTATTTTTTTAATTTAGAATTGCATGTTTTAGGATTTTATTTTCTTATTTTTATTTCATGTTTGGTAGATTAGATTTATTGCTTTGTAGTGTAGATTTATTTTATATTTTTGTTGTATAGATTTATTTTCTTGCTCTTTTATACTTTGGTTTTCTATTTTTTTTCTTTTATTTGTTGTAGTTTAAATTTACTTCTTGTTCTTTTATGCTTATTAGTGTAGATTTTATTTTCTTATTTTAATTTTGCAAAATGAGTAACAAATTCTTATAGGAAATCTAGGATTGCATGAAACTAGTTTAATTTTTTATGGTTTATGGATTACTCTCTTTATACTTAAAATGATCATGTTTAGGATAAACAACTAGAGAACTAATTGGTAGAAAAAGAGTTTGATAACATATGCTTATCTTGAGCGGTTTGATAGGTTATGCTTATCATTTCTATGATTATTATCTAGTTGCTTGCTCTTTCTATGAATAGTGATTTTGCTTGATGATAATTTGATAGATTATACTTTCATTAAGTGGTACGCTTAGTAAATCTAAAGTAAAATATAATAAAATAGAGTAGTTCATAAATCCTAATTAAAATTAACTAGTGGATTCATTAAGTGGTACATTTGTTTTTCTACCATTTTTTCTTAATTTTAATTTTCTCTTCCTCTCTTGATTTCCTTATTCTTGATTTTCTTTTGTTGATTTTTTCACTTCTTCCTACTTCTTTTTATCTTCTCTTATTTTCATTTCTTTTTAGTTCTTCTTTGTTTTCTTTGTTTCCTCCTTTTCTCTTTCTTCTCTCTCGTTTTAGATTAATTACTTTGTGACAAATCTCTTTCTACATCTCTATACTTTTACTTGCACTCTTTTTTGGTCCACACTCTTCTCTTCTAGGATAAATTTTAGAATTTCCAAACATACACCTTCTTAGTGGGTTTGACATCTTTACTATACTATAACTTAATAGTTATTCTCTTACAACTTTGCATTATTTACCCATAACCAATTCATAAATCGGTTGAAATCAGCATAATTTTAGAAAATTATATTTGATATATTCATCTTAGGTGACAACTCTAAATCCGTGCATAAAAATAACAAACAAATAGTGTATTTGCTTAAAGTTCACTATTTTTAAGTTATGGGTCCCTTTTTTTTTAATGCAAGGGTGCAAAATAAATAGAAACAAACAGTCCCCATGTATTAGAAAGCCATCAACAATTATTGGTCCTAACTTTCTAACTAAACACAACTACTTTTCATAGATAATTACACATTCTACATATCAGTATGTATTTGGACACCGTCTAATTTAATAGATGGGGGTTAAGTGAAGGAAGTGAATGGGCCAGCCAACAAAAGGATTCCATGGGCCCACAAAATGTAGCAAGTATACCCTATACGTGGGGCCCTTGCAACGACCGTCTGCACTAGATAGCCAGACATTTTCTAGCCACAGACGGTTTACTTTCCAAAATACTTGGATGGTACGCGCAGAGGCTTAGCTAGTCTATTAATATTAAATTAAACCATGTGAAATCAACAATTTAGGTTGTGCCTAACAACATCTCAAGGGTACTTAATAAAAATAAAGAATGAGTGAAGCGAGTAGGAAAAACAACAAGAGTGGAGGAGACCCATTTATTTTTTAAGCCCTAGCACACTTGAGAGTGTCAATTTCATAAGCATGTTAAGTTGTCGCATCTTTAGCAATTGAGTACTTTGGATCCTCAATTTTTTTTAACAAAGACAGATAATTAAACTAAAAGCTCTATTTCTCCCTTGACGTTCTATTTATTTATTTTACATGAAAAATATTACTTAGGCAAACAACATGACTCACATAAAAATATTAAATTATGAAATGTAGAAGACCGCGATAAAAAAAAAAGTGATCTCTTTCTATTTTTGACATTAATAGAAAGCATCCAAATCCATTGATTATTTACACGAATCGTCTTATATTAGATTCTACAATGGTAAATTAATACGACCCAACTTGCACATACGAGAATTTTAGAATTCAGTCCCGTGTGGGGGGCAAACAAACCTTTTCAATGCCATACAAAAAGGAAACCATAATTATATGAAGGGTTTTCTTTTATTTTATTCCTTCAACTTCAATACTTTGATATTAGTCCTTAAATATTTATAATTTAAAACTACCCCCAAATCTTTAAGTATCTTGAAACCAGTCCCTTAAATCTTCATATTCGAAATCAGCCCACCAAATGTGTTAAGTATTTTGAAATTGGTTCCCCAAATCTTTCAATCTGGTGCCAAATAGATGAACAAATTTCAGAACATCTACAATATTTGGGGGACTAATTTCAAAATATGAAGATTTGGGAGACTAATTTCAAAATTCTTAAATATTTGAGGGACCAATTCAAATTACTAAAAAGTTGGGGACTAAAATAAAAAAAAATCCTTACATGAAAGAACAATAGGGCCTCTTCATTATTGACCTCAAAAGATCAGCCTTCAATTTTTCTTTTGAGGGGATGTTGATTTTGTGAAAACCCCAAAAATTAAGGGGTCAACAAACATTTTTTAAAGTTAGAATCGATTGACTTTTTTTTTTGTCTAAAAGATTTGGAAATAGATAGAAATACAGAGAAGTTATATGCCAAAAGTTCACACAGGGTAAAAAATTAGGGAGGGAAAAAAACGAACGGGTCTGTGTACGACAAGGAAACGGCAAGGATAGTGAATTCAAAATAGCTACACTACAGCGAGTCTATGCGCACATAGACTGATTAGACTCAAAGCCAGCCGTATCGCCGAGACACCAATACTTAAACAACGTGGAATCCATAGGCGTGCTGCAATTGGCTTTTGCCGGAACCGGGCTCGGTGGCCTGGATCCGGACAAAGCCCAGAAAATCCAGGCCAATCGGGCTCCAGGTTAGGTTGGTGAAGCCCGACCCGAGCCCGGTCCGGCCTGATTATTATATATATATATTATAATATGGTCATTAATGTATAGTTATATATATTTCTAAGTGTATCTGGGTTTTTTGAAGGAAAATGACTGTGGCTTCATAGTTCTAAGTGTATGTAGTTGTATATATTTAAGTACATAGGTATATATATGTATACAACTATATATATACACACGGTATAAGTATATACAATATACTTACATATAATATATCTATATATAATATATAACTATTTAATAATATGTAAGTATATATTAATACATACTTATATAACTTATATAAATATAATAAGATTAATCTAATTTTTTTTAACAATTTTTTACAAAAAATCAAATAAAAAACCGGGTCAGCTCAATTTGGCTCGGACCTAAACCAGGGCCCGGTCCAAGCACTCTAGGTCCAGGTTTGAGCTAGGTATTTTACCTAGCTCAGATCCTGAAATCCGGGCCGGGCTAGCCCGTTTTGACACGGCTGCATCCATGCTCTCACAGATTCAACATCAGAACGCCCACAAGTATAAGAGTGAACCGCATATACTGTATATTTGCATGCGAAATTGTAGATGTACATAAATGTCAGGAGAGTAAGTAATTCTATAATTGACAGACTATTTTAGGCCTTCACTTGACACATATCTTATTGGGAATTAAGCTTCTTTATTACATGTGTTAAGAGCTGAGAATGTGGAAAATGGAATGTGACATCTTCTTAATTAATTAGAAGATTTGATGTTGTTGTTGGAACATCCTTAATCAAATACTAATACCACCTCAAATCATTTCAGCAAGAGAAAGAAGAGAGCATTTCAAACCAACTCCATAGAAAGAACACAATCAAAGCCAAATAGAAAAGAAAAGAAAAGAAAAGAAATGGTAATCATAATGCAAAGCCTGCCACAAAAACTAAAAAGTGAAAATAATTACCTGGGTATGGTAAAAAGACACCCAAGTACCTCCTTCAATCTCCAAGCTTGGATGAAAGTTATGAAATTTCTTCTCTAGAGTTTGAGAGGGAGGAAGCAACAAAGCTACAAAAACCTACACTTCAGCTTGACTTGTGCTATGTTTTGCACGCTAAGCTTCTTGAATCTGGCCAGTCCAAGCGAACAATAGACTTCAAAAATTTCCTCCTCACTCGCTGTCTTTCTTCCTCTTTGCTTTCAAGGAGGTTTTCTCTGCTTTCAAAACATTCCACCTTTTTTTGCCTTTGGGTCCCCCATGTCTACTCTTTTTACAGATAAGCATACTCCAACTACCTTTTCAAAAACTTTTATGAAACCCTACATAAGAGTTGGTGGTTGATGTACGGCGACTTTATCTTGGAAAATCAGGAGGAAACAGATAAAAATATCGTTGAAATTTTTTATGATTTCTTTGGATCGTGTGATTCAGTTTTAGTTGTAAAGTTTTAGTTTTGGGAGGCCTGCACATTCTTGGGCACACTCTCAGCCACACCCCCTCACCTGCTACAGTGCAAGGGGGCCCCACATGGGATTTTTTTTAAAAATCCCATGTAGGGCCCCCTTGCACTGTAGCAGGTGAGGGGGTGTGGCTGAGAGTGTGCCCAAGGGTGTGCCTCTAGTGGTTTTCTTTAGTTTTTTTGTTAAGTGTGAGAACTCAATTGGTATCAAATAAATATTTTCTGAAAAAGATAAGATCACTTTCTCTGTAATAAGTACTTAAGATAGTTAAATGTGTTAGAATGTTGTTCGTACAATATCTCTTATTTGAGTAATGATAAACTTTTATTTGTTACTGATGATTGCTTGAAATGATATATTCTAGTTATAAACATGTATATGAAAGTTACAAGGCGAAACAATGCAAAAATTAGCATTTTATGTTGATTTCAATTATCGAACCATCGATGGTCACAAGGACAATCGATGGATTACAATATACAATAGGATAAAAATAGAACTTAGAATTCATATCATAGATGGACTATATGGACCCATTAATGGTCAAGCTACACCATCGATGGATTACATTGAAGATTCGATGAATTCCAAAAACCAGATTTCAATCCAACGATGTACTACAAGGATACCATTGATGGTGCATAAGGGACCAGTTGTGGTTGTCACTACAAAGAATCTGGTATTTAACGATCAAAATTAGTGAAGGGACCAGTTAACCGTCATTAATGTGTGTAAAATAACGACGGTTTTAAAGCCCTTCATCGAGTTATCACAATTATTAGAGTAATGATAGGAAATGAGATAACGGTTTTCTAGTCCCTTTGTTAAATTGGTTCTAATACCGTCGTTATTGGGCTTCCTAAAAGGCGAAGGAGTCTATTACCTTCATTAATAACTCCTAATCCTAATCATAACAGGCCACTAACCCAAACAACCAACTAACCAAAATTATTATAAAGCACCGAAACCCAAACAACCCGATAAGCACAATCGACTCTCTTATTTCGAAACCCAAACTAACCAAAATTAATATAAAAGCACCGAAACCCTAATTAATTTTCGGTTAACTCCCCTCCTACTATACCCAGGCCGCCGCGGCTCTTCCCAGGCCAGCACCGCTGCGGCCTAGTGCAGAAACGTAGCTACCCAGCGCAGCCCTCCGTGCCTGCGCCGCTCTTCCTGTGCAGCGTCGCCTCTTCACTGTAGCCAGGGCCAGCCCGTCTGTTGCCCAGCGCCGCCGCTGCCAGCCGCCAACGCTCTTGGCCTGCGCTGGCCTCTTCGCCTGTGCCAGCGCGCGATCTTTCTTCCCCTGTGCCAGCGCGGCCTCTTCCCTCTTGCCAATAACAAAGGGAAGGGAAACCACCAGGGGAAAGGGGAAACAAGCAAAAGGGCGCCCGGTGAAAACCGAATAAGCCCGCCTCTGCCCAGTGCCAGCGCTGCCGACGGCGCTGCCAGCGGCCTCTACGCCAAGCGGCCTGGCTGCCTCTGGGCAGCCATAATACGTCGTTCTTATTCCACCATCAGCTGCTCCAGTGCGACTCCAGCGCCTGCGTCGCCCCTCAGCGTCGCCCACCTGGCCGGCTCAGTGCTTGCCTAAGCCGCTCAGTGCCTGCCCTATCGTCGCCCCGTCGTCGGCGTCTCCCCAGCGTCGCCAGATCTCCGCCGTTGCCCTTGGTCGTTGCCTCTGAGACCTGATCTTTTGTGAGGTATAATTGCACTTTAGTCCCTATAGTTTAGCAGACTTTGCACTTTTGCCGTAAAGTCCCTATAGTTTAGTATTCATCCCATGCTCAATTGCACATAATTTTTTTCCTATCTTATTTTTGCGGTTCGTCACGTGAAATTTTATCTAAAAATATATTATAGTTTATGAAAATAGTTTCATATGCTAGTAATTATTTATGTAATATTAATATATTAATATTATTTATGAAAATAGTTTCAAGTGCGTAAGATATTATGTTCAATATATTAATATTTTAATGTACTAATGATATCATAATACATTATAGTATATTAGTCCGATATCTACTATTATATATAACCAAGTTTGCGCATTTCATCACATAATAAGTAAAGACTGATTTCAGAGATTCCATGTGTATATGATTACACAATGTATCTATATTATTCAAAGAAATAAATCTAAAATTAATTTTTGATACCTATAAAATACATGGAATTTGAATAGCATGATAAGATTTTACTTGTATATCTTCAATAGTAATAAGTTGAGGAGAAGCATCTATTTTTAAAATCTCAGATAGGTTATATGAGGTGGTTCATGCATAATTTTGATAACAAATTTAAAATAAGATGAAATTAAAGATTGCACCATTGAGAACATCTAACATGTTGCATAATTTTTTGAAAGGCTGCTGGAAATGAAATTGAGGAGACTAGGTATTTTGGAGAATAAATCTCTTTAGGTTTACTTTAGGTTTGGTTACCACTACTACAGATTTGTGGTGACATCATGACAAGTTATAGTAAGAAGATAATATAAGTATAAGAATGGTAATTTGTAAATCTACTTTTAAAAGTTTTCCCTTCTAGTAAAGCATAATTCTTTGGCAAAAATATATTGATGATTGCATATTATGAATAAGAAGCACAAGTTATATGAGATACAACACAACATATTTTCAATAGGCCTATATATTCTCCTGGTAATTTGGTTGATCAGATATTATGTATTTATTATAATAAGCATAATCAACAGATGCTATCTTAAATATTTAGCACTGGAGCGTATACTCTTCTTGTGCCTTCTTTTGGGTACAGACTGCTTTTGTTAATATGATTTTTTTCACGTCTCTCTATTAAGTTGTAAAATTTGAAGTCATGTGTACAATTTTTGTAATACATTGCAATATTTTTAAAGGTCATTAGTATGGGTGTAGAATACCTAGGAATAACTTTTCTCAGACAATAGCAATATATGCATCTTAAACAATAATAGTAGATGTGTTTCATGAGACTAGAGGTGGTGGTGGAAGTGAACCAATTAATCAATAAACAATTTACTTATTATTCATTTAGCTATTCTATCATATTTGATTCGCTATCTCATTTGACAGTAAATGAATAGCTATTAGTTATTCAGTTCATAAACAAATTGAAATTAACTAAATGTGTTTTGGATTTGCTTGGTCATTAAATATTCGTTCAAATTGAGACATAAGCTTAAATGGAAAAGACAATTTAGAGGGCAAATTAGTAAAATGATGCTTTGGAGGGGATATTTGCAAATATATACAATGCTTGTGTGTACAAATAAAATATAGTCGATATTTATTAAACCACAATCTAATTATAAACTAATTATATTGTTTTTTTTGTTTTATAGAGTCGAATATCCAACATTAGTACATTGCTTGGAAATGACACCGAATAAAGATTAGATGGACCTAGTAGATGATGATAGACTTGATCTAAAATATGTAGAAGGGGTTGATAAGTTTTTAGACTATGCATATGAGAAGCTGTTTAATAGTTTCAATCAAAAGAATGGCAACTATGAAATTCGATGTCCATGTGTTAAATGCAGCAATGTGAAGTCTAGTAATCGTGAGTCGGTAAAGACCCACTTGATTGGTCATAAAATTATTAAAAACTACAGATTTTGGTGTCATCACGACGAAAGACAGGGTGAGTCCATATCGGAGTTTGATGAAGAACAAGAAGAAATGACAGAAGAAAGCCAGAGTGACAATGAAATGCAAGAAATGATTAGAGATTTATTTCATAATTCAACTGGCGTTGTTGCACTTGATGCCCCATCGAGTCAGGATATTCTTGAGCAGGAACCAGATGGACATGCAAAACAATTCTACAGTCTTTTAGGTGACTCCGAGAAACCTTTGTATGAAGGCTCTAAATGTTCAAAGTTATCTGCTTTAGTGAAACTACTTCACATAAAGAGCCTAAATAGGTGGAGTAATAAATCATTCTTAATGTTGCTCCAGTTTTTGAATGAGGAGCTATTGCCAGGGGAATCAACACTGCCTAATTCGTATGACGAGGCCAAAAAATTAATCTGAGACCTTGGCCTATCATATAAAAAAATTGATTCGTGTCCATTCTCTTGCATGCTGTTTTGGAAAAGTGAAGAAGGTCTTGATACATGTCAGAGATGTGGTGCTTCTAGATGGAAACTTGATAAACATGGAAAAGAGATCAAGCGAAAGGCAAATGGTAAAAAAATACCATAAAAGACATTGCGATATTTTCCTCTTAAGCCACGATTGCAAAGGCTTTACATGTTTTCGAAGACAGCTTCTGATATGAGATGACATCATGAAAGTCAAGTTGAGGACAGAGTGATGAGGCATCCAGCTGGCTCTAAGGCTTGGAAAAACTATAATGAGCTACATGAAAGCTTTGCCGAAGAGCCCCGAAATGTTAGGCTCGGTCTTGCAAGTGATGGTTTCCAGCCTTTCACAAATTCAAAAGTTTCTTATAGTATATGGCCTGTTTTACTTGTACCATATAACTTACCACCATGGATGTGCATGAAGCAATCCAATTTTATTTTATCTATGCTCATTCCTGGTCCAACTGGTCCTGGAGATGCTATTGACACCTACTTATAACCATTGATAGAAAAACTAAAGGAGTTGTGGGCCTCAGGCGTTCGAACATATGATGTATCTCTGAGACAAAATTTCATTTTACGTGCAGCACTAATTTGGACTATTAATGATTTTCCTGCTTATGCAAATTTATCTGGATGGAGCACTAAGGGAA